GTACTGCCCACTTCATTTCAAGTTTTCGTGATCTTTTTACATTTAGCGATAATGGATAAGATCACAAATTTGATTAAAAACCTATTTAGATTTAGGACAAAAGTTAAGGAAACTTACTCATATCATTTCTTAAATTTATGTCTCCACTTGCAATGTTTCTCTCATTGATTCAACGAAATTAGCCAAATAAAAAATGTAATATATGATGGCCTGTTGTTTTGAATACACTGTACATTTTCCTGTTCAAAATACTGATCATCATACTGTTTTATCTTGTACTTATTATTTTTTTAAATTATCAATGTTAGTTTTTTTGCTACATTTCTGGTAAAAAAAAAAAATATTGTAAATTTTGAATCTGTGCAAAATAAACCAAATTCTCATTTGCCTTTATAACCAATAAATGTCCATTGTTTTCGATGAGGACTAACATTAATTTTGTTTTTACATTTGCCGAAACGTGTGAAATTATGTATTTGATCTAAGCAGAATTAGAGTTAAATATTTATTGTTTTATTTATTACTAGCGAGAACCCGGCATGCATTGCAATGCCATTCAAAGAAAAACGTTTTTATATTTTAATTACGTTTTTGAAGTAATTTTTAAATAGAAAATATGTGCGTACACTAATAAATTAGAAGATTTTTTGGCGCGTGAAAGTGTTTGCATGTTAATTATGTTTCTTCAGGAGCTTTTAAATACTCAAAGTTTTTCTTGTTTTTCCATCTTGTATATATACGAATAAATCAGAAGATCTGTCCATGGGCGAAGCATGGATTTTCCAAATTTAGTCTACAAACTTGTAGCGATTGTTCCTGAGCTTTGTAGATAGTCATTGTAGACGCGTGTCGCATCGGAAACTGTAGGTGTTTGAATTCAAATGGCATATCTGTTCGAATCATTGGGGTGAATGGCAAAAGTACATCACCTAGTTTAAATTTTCCATTAAAATAGTAACTTCAATGGAACCAATTTCGGAAGATTCTTTTGAACAAATGTACCGTACCCAATTCTTCGATATCAAAGTGCGTTTCTCGTTGCAAATCACGAGCGAAAAGTTTGTTTGCAGATCGATTCCGAATCACGAATCATCAATAGATATCAATAGTATTTCATGGCACTGACTTTCTTATTCGAATTTCTCAATTTGATGTCAAAATGATATCCATCTTCTCCTTTCCAAAATAAAATAGGGCATTGCAATCCATCGTATGAGCGATGAGTTTCTGAGTCACGCTGCACATCACCACTTCTGCGATGAAGAATTATATCATCTTCGCCAACTCTAACGATCGCCACTTCATCAATTGTTGGTGCATTGTATTGTCTTTCGTGTTGGCCGACAGGTGTTTTGTCTGCTCTAACTATGACTTTGTAGTCATTAGTCGGCATCTGTTCAAGTGCAATTCTGAACATTTGAATTAATTCGTTGTGTTGCAAGAATAACGTTTGCATTGCAGTGACGATTTCTCGTTTAGTGCCCGTATTGATATGACAACGTTGATCGATTTGTTCATCAGTATTCCCCATGAAATCATTTGAAGACATTTGTGATCTGTGTTCGACATTAGCATCACAGATCCTACACGATGGTAAATTTGGCCTTGCAATTTACTTTAAATATTGGCATGTAATTCTCGAGCACGATATTTGTTGCACCGAACGATGTCATTTGGAAACATGAATTGCACTTGCGAATGTTTACCAACAAATGTTTCGATTGGCTATTGTCACCTGATACCAACGTTGATAATGGTTCATTTTCCCATCCGCGCAGCTCATTCCCGGTGTTTCATTTTTAAATTTGAGGGCACTGCAATACACGCATAATTGATCTATTTTTCCAATAAGCACAATTGGATTAAGACTGTAATCATAATTAGCATCGTAATGGAATGTACTAAGGTTTAATTCAGCGTGCAGTGTTCGTCTGGATCGAGCAGTGCGTACTTTATCAGAATCCAGTCATGTTTCTCGCTGCCCGAATGATTCAGACAAACGGGTTTCAGCATTGCTTACTCGGCCGTTTTTTAGTCTTGGTTTCTATTGCTCGACTGTTTCAGGTGAACGGTATTGAGCATTGCGTACTCGAGTGGATTCTAGTCTTGCTTTCCGTTGCTCAACAGTTTCGAAAGATCGGGACTACTTTTCCTTTCGTGCTTGAGGTTTAGATAAACCCAAAACTTTTTGTTTGGGTGGAATAATTGATTTGACAGCGAAATTATTGCTTTGTGACATCTGTCGTTAGCAATGGTATTTCCCAATTAACACAACTTGTTAGGTCACAAACAAAATGAAATATCGCTGTTTGTAAATGATTCAATTAATTTACAATATTCCTAACGCTCATAATTTTCACACGTTAGGATCTCCAATCTTTTTACATGAAAACCTCGCACAATAGATACGGTACGTTCATTGTTGGCAGGAGATTTCCAGTTGTATGGTTTCACATTAATTTATAAATCGTAAATTCCAGCGGTAAAAAATGACCATAGTTAAATTACCATTTAATTACTTGAGAAACCATCGATTCATGTAAAATGTATTTACATAACACAAAACAACTCTGAAATTTTAAGACTCTATTCAAGAAATATTCTTAGTTGAAAAAAAAAAACGCGATTTCGATGTCATTTCCGATTCTAAAATACGTCACAAAATTCAAGCTTATTTATACAAATAACAAAAAAAAATACAAAAACGTGTTTTCTCTGCTTTACTACAAATGTGTAATTTGTTCAAGGACGGTTGTGTTGAAAGCTCCGTTTTAAATTATATTGATCAAGAAAATAAAACGAATTTAGGGTCCCAGCCCTAATTGGAATATTGTACAATGGATGTACACGGTACTAAATTTGAAAAATTTGCTGGCGTATTCAGCTCCATCCACACATGCAATAGCTTTCTTTGAAATTATAGTTATAAAGCTCTTAGAAGAAAATATGAAATTAGGGTCACTGGCCCAAACGGAATATTGTAAAATGTTTTTTCTAATTTAGAAACATTTGCGGTAGTGTGCATTTCACTTGACCCAGTTTTATCACAATCGATTGAATGGTATAAAATGCATACGATAATTATATAGATAATACAAGTGTGGAAAACGAATTTAGGGCCCCTCGCCACAAATGGAAATTTTAGAATTGTTGTATTACTTCAGAAACCTACTTAATATGTCACGCACTCAATTTAATATCACTATTTGTATTTGATTAAAAAGCTATCCATCCATGCATTAGCTCTGTTTGAAATTATAGTTGTATAGCTTATATAGAAAAAACGAACATTAGGACCCCTGGTTAAAAAACGGAGTCTTTTAAAATAGTTGTAATAATTTAAGAAACCTTTGAAGGCGTGCGCACAACATCTCTCTAAAATTTTATCGCAGTCTAATAATGTAGAGGAGCGCATACGGAAATTATTGTCTATAAAGCTCCTAAGTATAAGGAAAAAAAACACGAATTTGGGGCCAATAGCCAAAAAACGGAATATTTTAGTAGGGTTATAATGGCTTAGAAAAATGCTCTGGCTTATGGACAACAACTCACCTCAGTTTTATCGCAATCGCTTGAATGATGTAGGAGCGCATACAGTTTGAAATTATATTTATATAGCTCATTTAGTAAGAAAAAAACATAGGTCCCCTGGCTCAACACTGAATATTTTAAAACGGTTGTAATAAATTAAGAACCTTTGTGGGCGATAGCAAAACATCTCAATAAATTTTTATCGCATTCTGAAAAATGGTATAGGAGTGCATACGGAAATTATTTTTTACAAAGCTCATATAAGAAAAAAAATATGAATTTGGGTCAAAGTCGAAAACGGAATATTTTAAAAGTGTTGTAATGAATGAGTAAAATGGGTATGTTTATGGATAACATTTCTTCAAAGTATGGTTGCAATCGCATGGATGGTGCAGGAGCGCATACGGTTTAAAAATATATTTATATAGCTCGTATAAGAAAAAAACTTAAATAGGGCCCCTGGCTCAAATCGGAATATTTTGAAAAGTTTGTAATAACTTAGAAACCTTTGCAGCCGTGCTCCGAACATCTCACCAAAGTTATTTTGCAATCGGATAAATGGCGTAGGGGTGCATACGGAAATTATTTTTTTAAAAAGCTCATATTAGAAAAAATACGAATTAAGGGCCAACGGCCGAAAACGGAATATTTTTAAAATTGTTTGAATAACACATTAAAATGCTTTAGCACATGGACAACAACTCGCCAAGTTTTGTAGCAATCGCATTAATGGTGTAGGAGCGCATACGGTTTGAAAATATATTTATATAGCTCATTTAAGGAAAAACGAATATGAGGCCCCTGGCTCAAAACTGAATACTTTAAAACGGTTGTAATAATTTATAAACCTTTATGGACATGCTTGCAACATCTCACCAAAGTTTTATCGGAATCGGATAAATGGCGTAGGAGCGCATATGGAAATTATGTTTTACATAGCTCATATAAGAAAAAAAAACAATTAAGGGCCAACGGCTGGAAATGAAACATTTGACTCAGTTAAATACCCGGTTATGTGGAAAACAACTGACCAAAGTTTTGTTGCAATCGCATGAATGGCGTAGGAGCGCATACGAGACATACAGACATACATACAGACATACAAACATTCATTTATATATATATATATAATATAGATGTCAACCATTCCGTTCAACTGAGCCATGGAACAAATATTATTCACCGACCTGGCTCTCGAATGCATGTGATGTTTTACTATCAATGTGATTCTCAAATTACACCGATTTCTTCCACAAAAACTGGTCTGTCAACGAGAAAAACTTGGATGCATCATAATGGTCTCGGAAGTAAAATAGCAGTCATCGTTTAAAATAATTTTTAACAAAGTACATTCAGCACGATAGCGTCACCTTGGGGAAAGATGGAAAGTGTGTCGTTACACTTTCAAAAGAATTCGAAGCTTTAAAGATGGTATGACTAAATCATCGACGTGCAAGGACGTATTTACACCCATCCAAACGACCAGACAAATAAAATTTGTGAGCGCTTAAAAAAAAAATTAAAATTAAGTTTTGCGTCGTTGCTATGAAAGCGTCTAATTTTTACGTCATTATTATATTAATAGTAGAAATCCTCCTCTCATAGACTGTACACAATTATTAAAATGTTATCCACATAACTCTTGTGAAATTGTTTTTTCTAACTTTGGCACTGTAGGAAATTAATTTATTATTGGAACAACATGTTTGAGTTTATTTGACAATTTATTTTTTTATGCGAAGATTTGTAAATATTAATTTTGTTTAGCATTTAATTCCAACCGTTGGCTCTTAGCCATTTAGCCCTGGCAATGACGTCATTGCTGTAGTCATTTCCCGTTGTGTTGGCATCTATAGTGAGCCAGTTCTGGACAAGACGGATGCCGGCATCGTAAGCAGCTACACCCCCTGTGAATACAATTATTATTTAAAAAAATGTGCATTGCATCTTCTCCAGCCATTTCTTGAAGAACTTATAATGTTCTGAAATTCTACTGGACGTAAATACCAAATCGAAGTTGATTAATTCCCCGCCAAAAAATTACACATTCCATTTTATTTATTATCTGAATAATTATTTCACTGTTTGGAGGAAAAATCTACTTCAGATTTAAAACATATTTTTCTTAGATTTTCCCCATCTGAAAATAATTTAAAGAAAAGAACCTTTGAATTTCCTACATGATATCGGTTGTGCCATGTTTGTGATTAACGAGTATTTCATTACCAGCCTAAATAAAACATATAAGTTGTTTGAAAGGTAAAACTAACAAATTACCCGTTTTGATGTTGCCCCCCTCCCTCCCTCCCCCATACTCATCTCGGGAACCCAGTCCATAAAGCGACGGCATAATGATGTCAATGAATATAGCTTAATTTGTTTGATAAAAATAAAATTTTTATGTCACATTAAAATTTGAAGCATTGGTTCTTTCTAATATCAAATATTTGATAACGACGTGACATGCTGTTGTCAGCGCCAATATTCAAAATAATAGCTGCTGGAAAGGCATTAACCTTAAATTTCAAACACATAGCAAATAAGCAGAGAAAGCATGAAATTTTACCTTGGAGGGCTTGATCAATAGTCCATGTTGGATGATTGGCATACACCTGTGAAATAGTAACAACTAGAGCATTTAAACTTTGATAAAACCTAAAGAGCTGCACTTGTTTTAATCTGGATAAATGAATTGTTTAACATTAATGAAATAATTGTACTTGAATACAAATTCTATTTTTTCCAAAACTGTTTAAATTCGGGTCCCATCTTTTATTGGTAAAATAACGTGCAAAATGGCACCTGTTTCTTTGTTAATCACTATGGGAAACCATATTATAAAAATATAATTAGGACTCTTTGAATTCCTCCCCTACTTACAGTGTAAATGTCTGGTATTAAAACTTTGCTGATCATCATTTCGATATGAGCACAGCTGTTCCAGGCCACAGAGGTGCACGGAAGTCCAGAGTGAGCAAGATTACACTATAGCGACATGATGAAAGTGATTATGAACACAGAGAAGGCAAACATTAAAAGCGTTATTATTATTTTTAAAAAACAACAGGTTTTGAAGAAATTCCTATTTGAAACGGAGATATGGGGTCAGACGTTCATTTGCGGGGTAAAGTGACTTAAATTCCAACGGCCAACACATTACATTCGAAGCAATCCATCCTTTCATGGTTTTAGAGTTGATTTTACTTAAAAGTTTAAAATAACAATTTTTGTTTCGGTGATGAGGTTGGTGATGATGTTGCAACCAAGGTTTTTTATACGTAAATTAAGAACTACTTGAAAAAGGCTTTAAAGGCTATAATATCTGCCATAATGGCTCTGAATTTTTAACATCATTCATGATTTAAAATTATCTATTTTAATAAGATGTAAGTCTTTCAAAAAATTCTTTCACTTATTATCCATTTTTCTTACCCTTAAAATTCCCCATTCCCTTCCACTGTCACCATATCCATTGATCAAGCTTGTTCCCCCTTGGCTTTCTCTACTGGCTAGCGCAGCTATTACTGAAGCTTGAATACCTAACATGAGTGATTGTAGAACGTGTCAAGAGTTGTCAATTGTACACGCGTCAATAAAACAATATAATAAATATCCCAAGCTCTTGGTAAATCCTAACAATTCTTACCGAATACAGTCACATAGTTGTCATGTATTAAAAAAATAAAATACAAATTTCATAATTCTTTCTTTGATTTCAAAATAATGTATTAGTGTGTCTCATGGTAATACATGTAATTGACTATAATACACAAATTAATATTTTTTTTTTAAAATACAAGAAGTCTGAACTTAACTTATGCTATAGATGATCAAGCTTAATTAAATTAATTAAAAAAAGACAAACCACACGTGATGTGAACTCACAGTTTCTATCAGCAGATGCATCGTAACAACTTTTATGTGAGACCAGGGCTGGGAGGTCATGTTGAACAAAAGCGTATGACACTACGTTCCCTGTTAAAAATGTGTTTAAAATCTGATAACTACAAACGTCATAAAGTTTTAACACTAATTCGTTTTGAAGGAATCATTTTTTTTTTTAATTTTTGTTCCATTGAACAAAGACAGCCACCAAAATTACGAGGGTTTCTAAATAGATATTATAACGTCATATTTCGACTGAAAATATGTTATTGGCTTGTTATTTTGACTCGAATCTTTCTGAGCTTTTCTTTCTTAAAAATTAGCTAATTTAAATAGATCTTAAATTTTTAAAAAATATAATCTCAAATGAATTAGTTTATCACAACAAAAATAAATAAATCCATATCTCACCTGTTGGGTATTTACCAGTTGGTGTAAGTTTTGCCACGTCACCATAACAGTTTCTGAGAGCTGCGAACATCACAAGATGAAGAATAAATTATTTTAAATATAACAGACAGATAAATATAGCTGGATCTCAAACTATTGTTTTGAATTTTTCCCATTTATCTTTTTTTTTCTTCTAGAATTCTAAATTTATATTAATTACTGCTTTTCATAAAAATCATTTTTAAAGCTTGTCAGATGAAGCTTTTATTCTCCCAGGGATTTACCTAGTTTTCCGAACATTGCAGACTACTTTTGTCAATTTGGATTGGTTCAAAAATCATGTTTTGTTTCTTCTAAAACTCGATTCCACTAAGTAAAGTATGGTTAATTACAACATACCCAATAATATAGTTTTTAAAATAAAATATATGATTTTTATATATGATTTTTTTTTTACTTTTACTCTGAAGTTATTCGATCCATGTTTACTTTAGCCAAACCATGACAACCGAAATGCATATAAAAGAAGAAATGGTATTAACAACCCATTATGCCCTTTTCTCTCTGAAAATATTTTTTCCGTTCGTGATCTTACCCCAGATAATGTAATAGTTCATTATTGCGTCACATGCGCTTCTTAAAAATGGCTGTGCATTATTAAACAAAAATATTTAAAATTGTCTCCAACTTATTATTCGCTCTTATACGAATATTTAAAAAAAATATCACACCAGAAAAGAACTCTTGAGCTTTTAGTAAATCCCCCTTTAAACTTTCTTCTTTGCAATTCTTTTTGTTTGCGTATCGCTTGTTGTTAAAATTGTATCCATTTTTAAGTTATAACGCTAAAATAATTATTGGCTTGTGGCAGGGTCTGCGTACATAAACAATGAGAATGTTAAAAAATAAAAATAAAATAAAAACTAGACAATGCAACTATCAGTTAATTCATTAACGTTTACAAGTTGTTATTAAATTTAATTTACGAAATATTCGGAGCAATTTGACCTTTGTTTTTTCTTTACAGCTGTATAGGATTTTATGATTTCAAGCAATATTCAATTCAATATAATTAGCTGTTGAAGTGGATTTCAGTTGTTTTCTGTGTTATTTTATCTAAATACTTTGATGAGATGACTGGACAGGAAAAGCGATATTCCAATAAACTTACCAAGCCGACGTGAATGGAAAAAACTATACTTATTGACATAATTAATGTTGTGTTTCAGCTCTGAAAATGGTAAGGTAAACTCGTTTTCTTAAAAACCTACCTGCGTTGGCCGTAGCCACAAAAGCGAAACAGAAGAACACAAACATGGTGTCTAACTGAACGACTTTGATTTGGTGGCAGTGACGCAGTCGAGTGCAATCGCCCCCTTTACCCACTGAACTTGGTCTGCTAAAGAAATTGGCAATCATCCAGATTTTAATAAAAAGTTGTTTTCTTTTAATGTGCAGCCTTATCATTTTCTTTATTGGACAGATAATTAAGTGCGGGAATGAAGACATGCCAACAACCTCAAAGTCTCCAGATTAGAGATACCAGAAATGTTGCATATTTTCTATTGCATTATCTTACCATAATGTACTTACTCGTAAAAATGTAATTCTCCTTTTACAATCTAATGAGCAAAACTCCCTTTAATATGACTCACTTGAAGTCTTAGCTTGAGCGGAAGAAAGCGCCGAATGATTAAATAAATGACGTCGCAGCATCATAGTTTTCAAATATTTGGGAAAACTTGACTAAAATATAATTTTTCCTAAAATCCTAATTCCATGATCCCATTCCTTACCACTCACCTCAACTACTATCAACCTAAACCAAACCCATACTCTCTACTTCCTTTGTCTCCCTTCCGACCCTTTCTCTAAACCCATAAAATTATTTTTTGAAAAAGCTGAATTTGAAAACACATCTATTTCGCAAACAACTGCTGGGGTGATGTTGTCTACCATCTTTTCCAGCGAGCTATTATCTCCTAGATGTATAGTGGCCTGTGTTGTTAATGGTTGCAAGGTATGAAATACTTAGAATGGATATTTTCGTCTTTACCACAGACTGGTAAAGACTGTCACTCAAGGATAGGACTGCACAGCCACTCGAGAAAATGCAACCCAACCAAACGGTGATGCACCATCGTCTCACGAGACGGAAGGATGCCGATGGAAGATATTCTCGTATTTTGTTTTTGTAATGTTGCGTTTTGTATTTCAAGTTGTAAAATAAATATTGTTTTATTTCTCTTTTAATATTGCTGACTTTGTACAGCACTTCGAGCCTCTGTGGATGAAACGTGATTTTCAAATAAACTTTATTATTATTAATCTCCAGCTCCCACTTGTCCCTTAAGCCAAACACTCTAGATTTTAAATAGGGTGGATGGAGTTGTCCCCCCTGGTGTCACATTTTATTTTAATGCAGGTGTGGCATCTTAGGACGAAGTGAGGGTTTGTTTTGTGAAAGGGAGGGCGGCTAAAAAATGACTAAAAGTCATTGACGCCACTCGATCATTGTCATCGGCAAGAAGGGCGGACATCGAGGGCACCGATACATCTTGAACGGTGGGAGGGGGTCTGGTGGTATTATTCCAAAATCGAGAGGTGTATTTTTAAGTATACTTGAATTCAGTATTTCTATTATACTTTTTGAAATTTGAAGGATATTTTAAAGCTTTTTTTTGGAGGCTTTTTTGGCGCCAAGGGTCCAGTGCTATACATAAACTGAATTCACTCCGGTTGTGGCGTTCAGGGCCGGCCTTTAGTTATTTTAGTGAAGATTTCCCTTAGATAAAATCACACATTAGCAAATATATAATGTCTTATGTAAACAGTTCATGTCTTCTTAGTTATGCCGTTCATAAATTATTTATAAAAATGTTAAAACCCATAAAAATGTAATACAAATATAATGTTTCGGACATTGTTCGTGCATGCAAAACTAAAAAGCACAAAAAGATTTTTTTGTTGAAATCAGAAATGTGTGGTTCTTTAATATTGTGGAGAGTTCGGACCACGACGGCGCCTGACGTAATCCGTCTGACCACCCAAGCTTGTGGAGAGTCGGACCACGCACGAGCGCCGGACCACGACGGCGTCTGACGTAATCCGTCTGACCGAAGGATCAAGCTTGTGGAGCACGACGGACCCAAGGATCAAACGCCTGACCAATTACGGCCGTCTGACACCCAGACACGACCATCCATCTGACCAGGGCATTTACCTGGGACGTCTAGACCGACAATTGAGGAAAAGGGGGCGGGGTATAATCTGGACTGGGAGAGGAACTATGGGACGGGGAGGTATAAATAGGGAAGAAGGTGGACGGACTAGGTAGGAGAGAGCAGGGAGAAGTCAGAGTTGGGAGATGAGTGAAAGTGTAAGCAAGTGACCGGTCAAATAAAGAACACGAGTTTAATGATCAAATGTATCACCGGAGTTGTTTACTTATTGAGTACCAGATCTAGATGAAGTTTGTCAGATAGTAAGCAAGGTTCCTTACAATATCGGTACTGTGAAAAGGATATTGATATATGGAAGCAACACACTTATTATTTAAGGGTATCATTTATTTGTAGTCTCTTATAATGAAGATATGGACAATGGAAATAATGATTTACATCATTCAGTTCCAACCGTGAGCTTTTAGCCACTTAGCCCTGGCAATGACGTCATTGCTGTAATCATGCCCAGTAGTGTTGGCGTCAACAGTTAGCCAGTTCTGGACGAGGTTGATCCCGACATCATAAGCAGCTACACCACCTGTTGGATTTAGAGTTCATCCATTTTTACTATATTTATACGAGTTTCTCTTTATACATATGAATGCATATTTTTGTATGATGTCGACAAAGAAACAATAGAAGATATTTATTCAGCAGCTACAGTGATATTCCTTACAAAATTTCCTCTAACAGGATTTAAAAAAAAAAATACAAGCAAAGGATCTTAAAGTATGCTCGTAAATAATAATACTAGTAAAAATACCTTGGAGAGCTTGGTCTAGAGTCCATGTTGTATGTTTTGCATATATCTGTAAAACATAAAATAACTTTTATAGTTTTATAGCAATGAAATAAAGCGTAAAATAATACTGGAGCACCTTACCTGAACAAATACTGGCTTTCAAGTACTCAAAATGACTATTGTGAACAAATCCTGGCTTTCAAGTACTCAAAATGACTATTGTGAACAAATACTGGCTTTCAAGTACTCAAAATGACTATTGTGAACAAATCCTGGCTTTCAAGTACTCAAAATGACTATTGTGAACAAATACTGGCTTTCAAGTACTCAAAATGACTATTGTGAACAAATACTGGCTTTCAAGTACTCAAAATGACTATTGTGAACAAATCCTGGCTTTCAAGTACTCAAAATGACTATTGTGAACAAATGTATTGAATTAGAAAACTGTATCAAATAAAAGCTGATGCGCTAAGTATAGTTTCAATGAATGGTGGTTTTGACAAGGTGGGTTAGCGAATGAAATGTATTCATGATTCAAAAGCTTGAAATCTAACAATATATGACATCGGCTGTGATAAAACTATTTCTATTTTCATGTTTGTTTTTGTCCCTCTTACATTGTAAATTGCAGGTATTAGAATTCTGCTGACCATCATCTCGATATGAGCACAACTGTTCCATTGTACGGACGTACACGGCAGACCAGAGTGGACATCACACTGATAAGTATAAATGACAAGAAGATAGTAAAAAAAAACATCATAATTAACAGAATTTGGAAAACTTTAATATATTTCAGTTGTGTTATTTCAAGTATGTGAAAACCTAAATCAGAATTAACCGTTTCATTATGAGCTAAGTACTCAGCATCCACTTTATATGATAAACGAAACACAAGGACACTTAAACTTTAAAATGTCGAAGATGATAATTATATTTAATCTTATTAATTGAAAAATGTATTGGTACAGGAAACAAACGGAGATAATGTTTCGTGCATTTTAAAATAAAAATTGAAAAAGCCGAAATATACTTATATAAACTTAATTTCAAAAGGAGGGAAACAAAGCTTATTATTTTATTTTGCACGTAAGGGTTAGGAGCTTTTTTCATATTTATTACAGTCATTAATTTGTTAATGCTAAATTTACTTGAATAAAATTTAAATGTACAGCTTAAAGCAAAATGGAATGAGAATCAACAGACCTAAGGTATTTTTAAAAAGGTCTGAATTAAAACAATTTACTAAATACTACATTAATTAAATAAACATTATGTAATTTGATTTAGGACTAATAAAAAGGTATGATAATTAAAATGGCCTGTCACTTGTAAAATCCCCCATAATCTTCCGTTTTCGCTGTAGCCATTGATTAAAGAAGCTCCTCCTTGACTTTCTCTGCTGGCCAGGGCAGCAATGACCGAAGCTTCAATGCCTGATGGGAAAATAAAAAAATGTACCTATTTAAATATTTTAAAATGAAATTAGCTTTTTTAAAGTTAATAAATAAAAATATTGTCAATATCTATTTGACGAGTTTCAATAATCTGTGCACACATGTCGCATTATGACGGATGGATGCCCAAAACTATTTTGGAACATCTTTGAAGTTTTTGCTAGTACTAATTTACTTAATTTTAATCAAATGAATATAATTATTTTATAAATAGTTGACATTTCTGCACAGATTATATTTTTTGGGGAAAAGCTTGTTCTCTTGACCTCAAATCTCCTGTCCCCGTAACTAGATAAACTAGGGAACATCAGGTGTGCATGAAACCTCCTGGTTAAATAAAGTAACATCTCAGGAGTTACGGAATTATTGTTGTGTCAATGTTACACCGCTTTCAAGACTCATCTCCGGGGTTTGATTTCAGAGTTTTCCTTCTTTTAGATGAGTTGTCATTCTAATGAACGACCCCCATCTACCCAGCGTACTGTTGGCAAGTCCAAAAAGTTTGGAATTGACTCAATTTAAGCCGCTCGGTTAAAATTCTAAAATGATTTATAAATTATTTAAATCTATTTTAATATTTAACTTCAGATGGGTATCAAATAGAAATGAAAGTAAAGCATAGAAAAAAGAATTGTAAATACATGTATCTAGCTGAATGGTAATATTAATGATAATCATTACTTTTTGAAGCACGAAAGGTTAAGTCAACATTAAAGAATAAAAATGCCTTGCGCCTAATTGAACGTCTATTTGAATGTCAACTCACAGTTGGTGTCAGCTGATGCATCGTAACAGTTCCTATGAGCGACCAGGGCTGGCAGATCATGTTCCACAAAAGAGTAAGATTCTGTTAGACCTGTTCTTTGAGAAGAAAAACTGTTTTAGTTTTAAAATCATTTGTGCTTTTATTATATTTTAAACATACAATTTAAAATTTTACTTTAAGTATATTTGAAATTGTCAATAAAGCAGATTAGTAAGAGTTAGAATAATCTGAATAAGGAGTTTAAGTTTGGCCCACTGTAGAGCTTACCTCCGAAAAGTTTCCCAGTTGGCGTAAGATTTGCAACATCACCGTAACAATTTCTAAGGGCTGAAAATAGCGCAAGATGTAGAATGAAAGTATCAGACATTGTCATTTGTTTAGAAGTTCCGCCTCTTCCATTTTTAAAGTTTTTCATTACACTGTGTTGAAGTAAAAAATATTAATCTGGTCAGTTATTTATAAATGTCTTTTAATCCTTGTCATGTTAACATAAAAACAGCAATGGTCTTGGTTGGTGACAATGTGATACTATAGAGGTTACCAAACGGGGCATATGGGGAGATAATTTAATATCCACGCCATGATCCAAACAATTGGTCAAAGTGATTACCTGCATTTGCCGCAGCCAGCAGAGTAAAACAGACAAGCGAAAACATGGCGTCCATCTGAACTTTGTTGACAGTAGTGACGTATGTTCAAGTTCTCTCGTCCCTTATCAACTGAGTTCACTCTGTCTAACAGACAGTCGTGTACAATGGTTCATTATGTTTGATGTTCCTTCTTATCGTTGTGTATGTGAAATAGTGGGTTAAATTTAGATTTCATGGCATCAGCCCAAAATTTGGCGTCGAGATAAAATTGTTGCAACTTTGTTGGCTTAGGACATTTAAGGAACTCATTCTGACATTAGTGATAGGTATAAATTCATTATTACTTGTTTATCCTCACAACCTTATTGACTGTAAGGCAACAGAGTTATCACTAGGATGGTGCGGGACATGCAGGCCTCACGGGCTCGCTCAAGTCGGTTTCATAATATTTCTAATTGAAATGCTTAAGCATAGTGCTAACAGAGCAATGTTTCTTTCAGACAACTTCCCCCTTAATATGCATCACATATGAACAGGGCGGGGGACTTGGATATTGATTGTTTATGCCAAAGCACTGAACAGTAATGGTTGGTACCCTAATAATATGCATCGACAAATATCACAAAATATTAATTGGCCATAACAATCTGTGTCAATAAAACAGCTTAGGAGATGTATAGACGTTTCGTCGGCTAATACTTTCAACAGAGTAACAAATATACATTTAAATAAAAAGAAAACTTGAAAAGACACATATGTAAAATTATGATTTTGGAGTCACTGCATGATCAGCCTATCATTTCTTTTGATTAATTGGCTTTTCACATCAACCATTTATTTATTTAGGCATTTTTATATAGCGCTTACCATAAAGCTCTAAGCGCTTTACAATTATTAAAAACATGTAAACTAAGTAAAATAAAAATGAGACACTAGGATAGTAACTACTATACTATAGAAACAATGAAAATGGCTATAAAACGAGGACACTTTAACACGTTTTGGCCTATACTTCAGGATCAACCCGAAACAGAAACCATCCATGTGTTCTAAGTAACTGGAATTGGTGATATCCCATTGTTCTGTTATGTTAAATGACATCCCTGGGTAAAACGTGTATACTTTTGGCGCACTTAAGAAGTAGGCGTGTCAGCTGTGATAACGATGCTCCTCGTCCTCCATAATGTAAATTAATTCCGGTTTTGGCACCCCCCTGGGGCTAAGCTTTCTTCCCCAAGGAGTGGGGAGAAGCGCTTAAGGCATGGCACTGAAAATTAGAGGGGGTCTGGTGAGAGGAGTGGATCCCAATAGAGTGATCTGGATCCCAATAGAGTGATGTCCGAAAGAAACTACTGATGACATTTTATAATTGATATTTACCCTACTCAGCTTTATAATTTGATAAGATTTGATGAAGAAATAGACATTCAAAAAGATACCCAATTTGATATTAGCAAGAACTATTAAATATATTATAATTATAGATAAATCGATGAAAGATAGCTCTAGAATTGAATGCAGTCACTAGATTTGCCTGGAATATTGGATCCAATATATTAGCGGTAGTTATATTTCATTGGGTCCACTATTTTACTTATTTATTATCGATGAAAAATACAATTTAATTATTTTTTTTGCTATCTTTTCTTTATGCTTGTAAAAAATTTTCTCGGGGTGGATGAGGGATGGACAGTTCCACGAGGGGGGTATTAAAAAACTGATTTCCTTTTGTCGGTTCTAAACCCATGCCTCCACCCAATCGTAATTATTGTACGTCCGTCGAGGATCGACGAGGACCATCGAGTCGTCTGGTGACTGATGACTGATGACTTGCGCGGATGAGTTTGTTTAAAGTGAAGAAGAGTTGCGCAGCGTCAACCTCACTCTCTCGTCCGAGCCCATCATATCCAGTGGCAAGACTCTACGTCAGACGACCAGGGATGGGTTCGGTTGCAGGAATTGTCATTGTTTGCGCCTTACGGGACTCCAGCTCCGGGTTTGAATTCAGAGTTTCCTTCTCTTAGATGAGTTGCCGACCAAGGTTAACGAGTCTCATCCACCCGGGGTGATGTTTTTGCTTGACTGGCCTTTGGCTGGACTTGAACACCAGACCACCAACTTGAGGTTTGCTCAGTTTAGACCATTTGGCCACCCAGTCACCAAATCGTAATAAGTGATCAACGAATCGGTAAGGTACAGTTCGATCCAATCAATAAACTTATTATTGAGTTTTTAAAAGTATAGTGCAATTTATATTTTGAAATAATGAACAATCTTTGTTACAATTTAAACTTCATTGCATTCCACACAGGGTCTTGCAAACTGTATTCTGTGAGTAAAATAATTGGGTTTTAACAGGGCGGCGGTCGATACAAGTTTATTGGCACATGGGGATGGTGTCCGGAAAAAGTTGGAGAACCGTTGACTTAAATAATTAAATGCACATCTTCGTCCCTCCCAAATCTTCTCCCATATCTTAAATGTGTTATTTTCACCTCTTTTTTGGTTTTAAGTTAACTAGGAAAAAATAAGTCTTAATGAAATGTGCAGCTCTGTAGTTGTTGCCAAGCAATGCTATTGAAATGGTTGTAATAGCTACTCGTTTGTGTGCGATGTGTGATTTAAATAATAAATAATTTATTTTTTAGAAATTTAACTGTACATGTGTATATCGGTGAATTTAAAACTAAGAATATCCAATCTAGACTTTTCCAGAAAGTTCCATACTTTAAAAAAGCCATATCTATGGCAGTTTTAAACCGATTTTAATGGGACAACTTTTAAAGTTTAATTTTATTATTTGAATGATTTTTATAGCCCACCCCCCCCCCCCCATCCCAGGTAAACTAATTTGGTACAATTATGGATGGGCCCCCGTTGGGGCCCCTCATTCAGCTTAAATGTACTTTTTTTTTTTAAACCGATTTTAATGGGACAACTTTTAAAGTTTAATTTTTTTTTTTGAATTATTTTTTTAGCCCCCCCCCCCCCCCCATCCCAGGTAAACTAATTTGGTACAATTATGGATGGGCCCCCGTTGGGGCCCCTCATTCAGCTTAAATGTACTTTTTTTATAATAATGCATTTAGTTGTAGAATATTTCTTATTCGAAAAATAATTACTGTTCTAGAAAGTTCTATATAGCTCTACGGGGATATATAATGGAATCTTAAAGCTGATGGAAATGTTAGTTGACCTCTAGACTTTCATGGGGATTTTCTTTCAACAGATCCTTCATAATCCCAATCGGAAAAGAGGATCCCACCGGAAATGAGATCTTAAAGGGGATCAGGATCAAATCTGAAAAAGGGGGAAAAAAGAAAATGAAATCCTACTTGGAACTGCGATCCCATCGGGATCTCAATATGATCAGAGTCCCACAGGGGTCGGTTTCCCATTGAGATATGGGAAACCATTTGGAAACGGGATCCCATCGGGATCGGGATCCCAATGGGGTCGGGATGTCTATGGAGTCGGGATCCCAATGGGGTTGGTTTCATGGGCTGACATTAGCGAATGTAAAATTATTAGCCAATAAGATGGCCACCTCTCCTATGAGGCATTGGTACTAAAGCATAGGTGGGCAAACATTTTGAGCGGAGGGCCACATTGACAAATGTAAAGCTATTGGGGGAAAGGGGGGGGGGCCGCATTTTTGTTATGTCCAATTTTTACATGTCAATAAATTCACATTTTATCATTACATGACAAAAGTTGAGGACTGTTTAAAAGAAAGGAAATTTATAAAGAAAGTTGATAAAAAATGTTAAAACAATCATGAAATTCTGTAAAATTAAACAAAATAACTTTAAACAAAGCAATTTTAGAAATTTCTATACGCCTTTGTGGGCCGCGTAATATCATTTGCCGGGCCGTAGTTTGCCTACCTCTGTGCTAAAGAGAACTTTATTCATATTGTTACATTTCTGCTACACACCGCAAATAAAATACAGCCACTGGAAAAATCAGTTTCTGGACCATTAAAGAGTGCATTCAATGCTTCAGCTGATTCGTGGCTGCTTGGAAACGTAGACAAACCAATCACAGTTTACCAAAAAATATTGTCTGGTTGCCAGCGGAATTAGGCCTCTTAATAAAGACATTTAAACAGATATAGACTTTATGCCTTGCGCTATAACAGACAGACCAGATCCATCTTTTAGATGACCAGTCTCTAGATAGACCAGTAACCAGTATTTCTTTTTTTCCTCCGGGGAAGCGGGGGAGGGGGGCATTTCAGATTTTTTTTTTTTTGGGGGGGGGGGGAGGGGACGGGGGCAGGGGGGGGAACTAAGGGGGGAAGGGGGGG